TGCAAACGGTTGCTGTAACCGGTTACAACAACCGTTTGCAGCAACCGATTGCAGTAACCGGTTGTAGCAACCGGTTGCTGTAACCAATTACAGCAAACCTATTGACACTGCAAACAGTTGCTGTAATGAGGGTCGGGATGGGCGGGACAGGGTCAATACGTTTGTTGTAACTGGTTGCTGCAACCTGCCTGTGGGACTGCAACCGTGAATGCAGTGTTTCTAACTGTTGTCTTTCCCGTCATGTCCGTCCTTGCAGCAACCGGTCACTATTCTTCGTCAGCTTCAACGTTTTCGACAGTCCCACATCCACGTGCGTCATGGCCAGTTCAAGCAAGGCCACCATCGTTGCCAAAGGCAAGTCCCAGTCCAAGCACCCCGTGTTCATGGCCCAGCCGGAGGAAAGACAGAAAAGTTTGCAGAACGAGAAGACCRTGTACAAGTGGATTGAGCAAGGGCAGGAGGCGGACCCAAAAGGGTAYGGGCAGTRCWGGGTGAGAAGTAGGCTGTGCAACCAGTTGTTCACAGCATCGAAGTCAYGTGCGRWGCAACAKTTCCTGAAGAAGAGAGCAGCATGTCCTTACCGCACGGGGGAGATTCTCCATTTGTTGGAGTTGGATGGAGCTAACATTAAAGAAGGTGGTGCAACAACTCAGACAATGCTGCATAAGTACAGAATGGATAATGGCATCGGCGAGGACTGCGGATTGGAAGCGGAGCCAGTGCATCAGGCAGCAACGGAGTTGGAGCGGCATATTGTCCCACCGCCTGCACCGGGGAGGGCTCTATTGTAAACATTGACACCGCCCAAGAACCTGAGCCTGCCGATCCAGATGTGGTGGTGGGAGATGAGATGGCCCCTGGTCCGTCAGGTCAGGCATCCACAAAGGTATCGAAATCAGGGAGGACAACACAGACTTCCATTAGGAAGTGGACAGAGAACACCGCCCAAAAGAGACTTGATCTTGCATGGGTGGAGGCATTGTGCAGGGCGGGCGTGCCATTCAACTTCATCCGGTTGGACAAGACGAAGGAGCTTCATGACATGTACATGGAGTTTGCGGTCCGCAACGCACGAATGGACTTGCCTGCCTTTGAAACCATCCGGACAGTGGCTTTGAACATTGTGTATGACAATGTTCGGGCAGAGGTGCGGCCGCTTATGGACAAGTGGGACATCAACGGTTGCACTCTCATCACCGATGAGACCCAAGACAGGAAGTCGAGGGCTGTGTTGAACTTTGTAGCGGCTGGAGAGAGCGGGGCTGTGCTCATCAAGGTTGTGGATGTCTCTGATGGGAAGAAAAACACGAGAGCATTGGCAAAGTTATGGGAAGAGGTGATAAGGGAGATCGGTGTTCACAGGGTCAATGCAATCTGCACTGACAATGCATCAGCGAACAAGCGAGCGGCGAAACTCCTGTCAATGAGGACTCACAAAGCCATTGCGAAGATTCCTTGGATCCCTTGTGCTGCCCACACCCTGAGCTTGCTACTGAAAGACATATCCAACATCGCATGGATCAAGACGGTGTGGAAGAAGGGAAGGAATTTGGTGAAGTTCATCAAGAATCACCAAAGCACGATGGGGTTGCTGAGTCGGTGTTCCATGGGAGGCAGGAAGGTGCTTGTCATGCCAACGGAGGTCAGATTCACGTCTGTTTACCAGATGTTGATCCGTATATGAGACAGGAGACATGTGCTGAAGCACATGATGGACAACGGCTGGTTTGACATCTATTGGAGCAGTCGGAAAGACAGGGAGGATGCAGAGGATATCTTCGGTCATGTGAGATGTGACATCTGGTGGCAGAAGGTGGACACTATTCTCTCCATCATGAAACCCATATACGACCTGCTGCGAATGATGGACAGTGATAAGGTGGCGCCTTCACAGTTGTGGGGCTTCGACGACCTCCTCAGCAAACGGATGCGGACCATGTTTGGTGTGACCAGCGAGCAGCACCACGAGATAATGAAGCTGGTCGTCAATCGTTGCAAGATGATGCGTCACCCAGCCCATGCAGCAAACTTCTTGTTGTCACCTGCGCGGAGGGACCCCAGATGGTTGCTGAACAAGGACTCCCCACTCGTGCACAACGCATTGAAGTTCTTCTTGACACAGTTGGGCGGGAACTCTTGGGGCGATTTGGACTCTCACGAGGAAGTGTGGAACAGCCTGTGGACATTTCATTGCCAACCACCGAAGGAGGAGATGAAGGATGAGGACTTGTGGAATCGGTTCGTTGTTGCCGACGCAACTTTGGAGAGGAAGACATCATCTCAATGGTGGGGCTTGTACGGGTGAAAGCACATCGAATTGCAGAAAATCGCAATGCGGGTGATGGCAATGTGGAGCACGGCAACGCTATACGAAAGGAATTGGTCGTCCTTAGACTTGGTCCACTCCAAATGGCGGAACAACTTGTCCAGCGAAAGTGTAGTTAAGTTGGTTTACTACATTCACTGGAACATGCAATTGTTGCGGGTTCCCAGGAGCACGACTGACGGGTTCATTGACCTGTGGGCAACCTTCTTCGACGAGCCTGAGGCACCTCCGGTGACGAACGATGCAGCCAAGGATCGCCGTGAAGTGGACAAGGAGGAGGAGGCGGCGAGGGTTGCACGCCTGAAGAAAATTCTGAAAGGGAGGCTTCTCGCTGGCTTGTTCAGCGATGATTATGGGAGCAGTGACAATGAGGACTTGGTGTGGTGTGACAAGGTGGAAAACAGGGTGCATCCAGCACGAGGTGGGAAGGGGAAAGGGAAGGCCGCTGTTGTTGAAGACGAGGAGGACGAGTGGGATGATGATGATGATGATGACAACGACTCGGATTTTGAAATTCGTCCACGCACGGGCTGCATGGACTCAGACACGAACGGAGGACGGACCGACTTGTGGGACGTGCCTGAAGCAACGTGTCACTTGGACAGTGGCGATGACCTCATCGTGGAGGACAGTGAGGCACGTCATCGCAAGGTCAGAGCGGAAGCACAATCTCTAGCGGACAGGGATCGTGTAATGGTGCAACAGCATATGGCAGAGGAAAACTCACGTCGACTAGCAGTCCCCGCACACTTGAGAACCGTGGAGGGGCATGTGCAGCAGCAGGCCGAGCAACGACCACAGGAGCTGGTGCAGCAGCTGGTGGAGCACAATCCGCAGCGGGTGGTGCAGCAACAGCAGGAGCAGCGCCCTCAGCAGAAGTAGCATGAGGTGGAGCCAGGGCAGCAGCAAGTGGAGAAGCAGTTGAAGCAGGACATGGAGCAGGAGCAGCAGAATATGAAGCAGCAACAACAACAGCACAACGAAGAGTAGCAACAACTGCAAAACAAAGAGCAGCACCAACAACCGAGCCAACAACTGGGCCAGGAGCAGCACACGGGTCAGCAGCAGCAGCAAACGGATCAACAGCAGCACCACGTCGAGCAGCAGCAACAGCAGCAAACGGATCAGCAGCAACAGGACGTGGAGCAGCAGCAACAGCAGCAAGCGGAGCACTACCAGCAGCAGCAGCACGATGTTGAGCAGCAGCAGCAGCAGCAGCCAAGAACAACAGCAGCAGCCGCAGCAGTGACCACTACGACAGACACTGCACCAGAAACTGTTGTTGGCTCCAGCTTATACTGCCCCCCACCGATGCCTCGCTTGGACGAGGCCATGGTCCATGACAACGTGGACATCAGCAGGGTTGGGAGGAAGAGAAAGGTTCTCGTGGAACCTGTCGTTGCGAAGCGCGGGCGAGGGCTTCCAAGGAAGGGAGAGGGGAAGTCTGTTGCGGCAGTACCTGTTCTGCCCCTCATGGCCACAGTGACCGGTAGGCCGAAATGCAAACAATGGAAGCGGGTGGTGGTCGAGGATGACCCCACCCGACCCACCGGGGCAGAGGACAGCAGCGACGGGCAACGGGAGTCGGATTGCGACTGGCCGTGACTCTCATGCACATGTCTCATCATCTTCTCTTCTTCTTCTTCTTCTTCTTCTTCTTCTTCTTCTGCCTCTTCTTCTTCTTCTTCTTCTTCTTCTTCTTCTTCTTCTTTTCTTCTTCTTCTTCTTTTGTACAGACTCTACGGTGACTACACTGTGGTAGTTGTTTCTTAAAGTTCACAAACGATGGATCCGCACACATACAGAGATTGTTGAGAGAGAGAGAAAGAGAGAGAGAGAGAGAGAGAGAGAGAGAGAGAGAGAGAGAGAGGAGAGAGAGAGAGAGAGAGAGAGAGAGAGAAAGAGAGAGAGAGTTTCTCCGTTTCAGAACTTCTGGACCCAGTCCAGGCCATCTTCAGGGGGGGGGGGGGGGGAAGGAAAAGAAAAAACACAGTGTCTGTGACTTTGTCACTCTAGTTTCTGTGTTGATCTGTGCTGATCTGTGGTGTGTGAGACTAATGTGTGTTTCTGCTGTGTGTGTCAGTGGTGTGTGCATGAAGCTGTTGGTTGGAACCGGTTACAGCGACCGCTTGCCACGGCTGGTTCCAGCAACGGATCAACAGAGACTGATTGCCTGACTGTTTCATGCAACCGGTTGCCTTGACTGTTTCGTGCAACCGGTTGCTGGAACCGGTTGCCTTGACTGTTTCATGCTACCGGTTGTTGCGACCGGTTGCCTTTATTGTTTCATGCACCGGGTTGCTGGAACCGGTTGCCTTGACTGTTTGATGCAACCGGTTCATGCAACTGGTTGTTGCAACCGGTTTCAGCAAACAGGTGCTGCAACCAGTTGCATGGACCGGTTGCTTTAACCGGTCACTGCAACCGGTTCCAACAATCGTTTGCTGGAACCAGTTCGAGCAACCACTTGCAGCAAGCACTTGCTGCAACCGGTCGAAACAACCGGTCCCAGCAACCCTGCCCTGCTTCCCCACCCCAAACTCGTGCACCCCCCCTCCCCCCCCCCTCGCCCAGGCCCAAAACACGACTATTCCAAAAATTTAAAAGACCACGGATTTGGAGAGCTCTCGGGGAGCACAAATTAGCCCCGCTGAAAAAAGAAAAAAAAATAAAAAAATTGACCGGTTTTTGGACTTGCCCGGGTCACGCAGGCGATTAGGTCCGACCTGCCCGGGCCCGACTGCACGGCCGGGCACCCGGGCCCGTGTGGGTCTGGTAGCCCAAGTCCAAAAATTATATTGGGGGTTGGATTCTCACTTTGGGGGGTGAAATTAATTTTGGGTTGTGAATGATGACCTGGGGGTTAGGACCCACCGCTATAGGGGTCCAAAAATTATATTGGGGGTCGGATTCTCACTTTGCGGGGGGTGAAATTACTTTCGGGGTGTGAATGATGACCTGGGGGTTAGAACCCACCGCTTTATGGGTGCAAAAATTATATTAGGGGTTGGACTCTCACTTTGGGGGTTTGAAATTAAATTCAGGGTGTGAATGATGACCTAGGGGTTAGGACGCACCGCTATAGGGGTCCAAAAATTATATTGGGGGTCGGATTCTCATTTTGGGGGGTGAAATAATTTCGGGGTGTGAATGATGATGACCTGGGGGTAAGGACCCACCGCTTCAGGGGTGCAAAAATTATATTAGGGGTCAGACTCTCACTTTGGGGGATTGAAATTAAATTCGCGGTGCGAAGGGAGGTGATTGCCCTAAAGGGAGACGGGGCAGATTTTGGGGGATACTCTATTCTGGGGCTGGGGGAGATGCATGGGTTGGCATCATACCCCAGCGGTAGCAGACAAGGGCAAGGGGTCGGCTCGGACAGGGCAGACAGACAGTTCGAGTAGCTCGCTTCTTGGGCGACACGCTGCTGGAGCAGCGCGACACAGCGCTGCGTTAGAGGTAGACGTGTAGGTAGAGCGAGAGAGGTGGAGGCCACACCTGCAGCGGTGGTACTTACCTAGGTGCCATAGCTGGACTCCACGCCAACAACCTGCACAGACACACCGGCGGCAGTCAGTACGTGGCGGCAGTTACCTGCAGGTGAGACAACGAAGTGGACGACATCTTCTTCTTCTTCTTAGTCTCGCCCTCCTTCTCTTCTTCCTCCTTCCCCCTTCTTCTTTTCTTCTTCTTCTTCTTCTTCTTCTTCTTCTTCTTCTTCTTCTTTCAGAGTGTGTGAGAGAGAGAGGGAGTTGACAGGCAGAGGTTACATCGGGCCATGAGGCCCAGGATCTGATTCGACATTTTTGCAGCAGACATTGATTGGACATTCGGCAAGGAGACTATTTTTGGACTTTGTTATCGCTCTTCTCCCTCACCTCCATCTTCGTCTCATCTCTCCAGGCTCTCCCCCATCTCCTCATTCGTGGTATCTCCCCATGTGCATATTCAAGGAGGGACCTTTCTCCTATCTGTGCGGTCCCTCCCCTCTCTCTCACATGTGTGGTGTATGATGGGATATTGTGTCAGTATCTGACAGGTCAGGTCATGTCTTTGAGTCTTCCGTTGCGCTACGTTATGTTATTTTCGTATGTATCKGAATRTACATTGCTTGTTGATGCTTTGTTGACACTTCATTGTCCATTCGAGTCCATTTCATCACTTTGCGCCGTTTGCAGATCCTTGGCTCCATATACATCGCTCGATTGACCATCTCTCTCTCTCTCTCTCTCTCTCTCTCTCTCTGACACACACACACACACGCACACAAGGAGCAGCCAGAACTCTCTCTCTCTCTCTCTCTCTCTCTCTCTCTCTCTCTCTCTCTCTCAGTGAGACCATAATATGAAAAGTTGAAGCAGCGAGAAGGGGAGAGGAGCAAAAGGACCATCTAGCGAGAAGGGAGGAATCCAGGAGATAAGAGATCAACAAAGTAGAAGTAGTGAGAAGGGGGCAGGAGGAATGGGAAAGGTGTCGTTAGAGATGGATTTCAGGCGAGAGAAAATTGGGATATAGTCGAGAGAAGAGCTAGGCTACCAGCCGGGTCGCCCGAGTCCCGGGTGGCCAGCCCGTGCAAGGACCAGGGAAGGTCCCAGCAAAAAAAAAAAACCTCCAAAAACTCCACAAAAAAACTATGTTATGCGGAAAAATAAATTGAACAACTTTTGCCTCAGGGTCACATCAAAATTCTTCACCAAATTTAAAATAAAAAATTGAAATTAATAAAAATATTTTTGGCCCGGCCGGGCAAGTGACCCCCGACCACTCTGGTAGCCTAGGAGAAGAGGGAAAATGATGAATAATAAAGCTAGGAAGGCCAGGGTGTTCAGACAGGAAGGAGACGGGACGAGGATGCGATCCAAGAGGGAAAGGGGTACAAGATCACCAGGAGTGGGAACACTGGGAAGGGGGCATCAGATGTGGTGATGCGCTATCGTGCACGCGCAAGAGAGAGAGAGAGAGAGAGAGAGAGAGAGAGAGAGAGAGAGAGAGAGAGAGAGAGAGAGAGAGAGAGAGAGATCTGACGTGGCAAGCCCAAGGACGGGTCGAACGAGCATCCAGAGAGGGGGGAAATCGTGAGTASGGGGATGCGCCCTGGATTGAGCCTCTGTTYGCTATTACTCTTGACATGCACAAAAGACAAATTCCAATGTTGTAGCAGAGGATTCAGTCTCATTTTGCATATTTGGAGAGTAGTGGGGCGAGGCGATGCGTTTTTTTTTTCATGTGACATTGTGTCTATGGCAGAGGACGAAGGGGGTAGGACTCGTAGGAGGGGAGTAAGAGGGGGACATGGCATGAACGGGAGGGGGAGCACAAGGAGGTGGCAGCTGAACGGGGAAGGAGTGGCTCTCTGCCGGGGGCATTCGTTTGTTTATATATATATATATATATATATATATATATATATATACAGGGTCACCAGCCCATACGTACGGGCGTTCAGGGTCCCGTACGGGGTCCGAACCCGACGGCGTTCGGCCCCCGCCAAAAAATATTTCGGGGCCTAAAAATACTTAGTTTTTTCTGAATGTTTTTTTATGACTTCTCTATGGCGTGAGGTACATGACTGTAAATTTTCAAGTTATCTGGCTAAGCCAAATAAGAGTTAAAAATCGCCAAAGATGGCGGTGTCAAAACGTGCTCGCCAACATATTTTTTCACTTTTTACTTTTTGTTTTCACTTTAGTTCGGGGTCTAAAGAATTTTATTATTTTTTGAAACCTTTTTAGTGGGTTTTGTATTGTGTGAAGAACACATCTGGAAATTTTCAGGGCATTTAGCTATGCCAAAAGAAAATGAAAAATCGCCAAAAATGGCGGTGTCGAAAACATGCTCGCGCACTCACTAAATTTAATTCTCTTTTTATTTTTATTTATTTGTATTATTAGTATTTATTTTCCGTATTTTATTTTTATTTCAGATTTGGTAAGCTATTCGGAT